ATCCCGGGACTCCAGGATCATGACCTGAGCCGAAGGCAGTCGCTTAACCAACTGAGCCACCCAGGCGCCCCAGGAAAGCATTTTTAATGAGCATTTTATGCTAAAAAGCCATCATCTTCTGAAATGGATTAAGGGACAGTAAAAGTAGTATGTGTACTGTGTTCAGGGAAAGGGGTCAGTGAAATTCTTTTGGAATGGGAGGAACCATGGAGTTTCAGAAATATTTTGAAATGAACACTTATTCTTAAAGAAAATTCCAGGTTCTAAACCCAAACTTAGATCACATAGGACTTAAGGGGAGATTGTTAGAGCTTAATATGTCAGGTGTGCTCACTACACAGTATTATTTTATGTGAGATTTTATAACATCCATCATGATTTACATATGGCTTTAAAATACACACACACACACACAAACACACACACACCTAAGTTTAAAGTAATTATTGGCTCCTTACTTGAAAGGAATCTATTCAAAGCCCCCTCCCTAGCCAATCTTACAGACCAAACTCACAGGTGTTTATACCTGGCCCTCACTCTTTGTTTTTCTAGGTTGTGGTACCCTTTATTCTCAGAAAATAGACCCCAGCTACAAAACATATTCTTCTCTGGCCTGATCACAACACACATCCTGGACAAGCCCTGGAGAGAGTTCCTGGAGAAACCTGTCACCTCCCATTCTACCTGGCCAAGAGTCATGTCACCCCCCCCCACCTTCAACCCTCTCACATCCTTCAAAACCCCTTAAAAAGCCCAACCTAACAGAAACTCAGGCTGATATCTCTCTTGATGTCTGGTCCTTGTCCTCCCTTGGAGAGTGAATAAACTCTCTCCTGCCTGTTGCTCTACTCTTTGTGCAATTCTTTGCTGCCCCCCACCAGCCACCCTAACATTACTCATGCCAGTGAAGGATACTATCAAATTCTGGTGTCTTGTTGGGGAAGAACTTGGAGAATTCCTTCATCTCAGATTCAAAAGGTATTTGAAGTGGAGAGTAAATTACTGCCAGAATACTTTTAAGTGTTTTCTTTCTCTTGAGGCTGCAGGTTGACAGAGTTTGGAAGGGGAGGTGGAAAGAGAGAAGTAAATTATTCTGGTCACTGGACATAAAGACTTGACTTGGCATTTGTTTAGGTCTTGTGTGTCTCTCAGGTGGTAAGTGAACCTATACCCAGCCCTACCCAAAATTGTGCTCATCATACATATAATCTGCTGACACCCCATCTACAGGGGTGTACAGCTTCTGTGGTATAATTACAAATGCTCTATATAGTTCGATACTCAAAATGTATTTGAGGCCAAGGAGGAAAGAGGAGAAACAAAGGAGCGTGGAGATTATGCTAAAGTATCATGTATAGACTTGAACAGCAACAGTGATTTTGTGTAAGGAATTTAAAATGTTCTTAACAATGAGGTATCAGCCAAAAGTAGAGATTACTTCTCATAAGAGTACTAGCTGCACTAAGTAAAAAGAAAAGAAAAGGCAGAGGGAGATAAGAAACAAATAATTCAGAGGTGCCATTATGTTGTGACATAAATCCCCTCCTTTCTGACCCTGCCCCTGCACTCTCACCCACCTGCATGTCCCAGACTATTCTAAAGCTCATAATTTGTGGCTTTCCAAAGTAGTTCAGAGCCCTAGTTTCAAATGATAAAATTTGTTAGTGAAAGGACTCTTTGAATAAAGCATGAAGGAATTTAATTTTTCTAGATGCTTTCTGTCTACATAATGCTTCACCACACCCAGAATTCCTGTCAGTTCTTCCCAAACGAAAAGAGTAATTCTCCACTCTTACCTGTTTCCTGGCAAAATCACTGAGGTCATCGTACCAGTGATGGTTTCTTTTATGATTACCTATGTACTCCAGGGCAAAAGTCCCAGGGTTAATTTTTCATGTAAGTACCCACCTCTTTTTTTTTTTAAGATTTTATTTATTTATTTGACACAGAGAGAGAGAGGGAGAGAGCAAGCACAAGCAGGGGGAGGGGCAAACAGAGGGAGAGAGAGAAGTAGGTGCCCCGCTGAGCAAGGATCCCGATGTGGGGCTTGATCCCAGGACCCTGAGATCATGACCTGAGCTAAAGACAGATGCTTAACCCACTGAGCCACCCAGCCACCCCAATCCCACCTCTTTTAATGCTTTAATCAAACATCTCAATTCAGTGACAAAGCCAGATGTTCAATAGCAAGCTCCCTGACAGAAGGACGTTGTTACTAAAACCTTCTAAAAAACAGGTTCCTTTTTTTTTTTTTTTTAAAGATTTTATTTATTTGAGAGAGAGAGAATGAGAGACAGAGAGCACGAGAAGGAAGAGGGCAGAGGGAGAAGCAGACCCCCTGCTGAGCAGAGAGCCCAATGCGGGACTCAATCCCGGGACTCCAGGATCATGACCTGAGCCGAAGGCAGTCGCTTAACCAACTGAGCCACCCAGGCGCCCAAAAACAGGTTCCTTTCCTCCTTTCCCCAGTAACCTAAGTTTACTGTTCCTTCCCCTTCCCAACCGTCACTCCCTTTCTGTGCCGTTTTTTAGAAGTGCAAGTATTCTTAGAGCTTTAAAGTTATTTAAACGTAGACAAGATCAGGAAGTAGAAATAAGGTCACACAGTTAAAAAAAAATACCTTCTTACACATTATGCCATCTTTTGTACCCACATCTACTGTTTTGTCATTTAAAGGTTGATACTCACCTTTGTCACGAAGAAGAGGATAAACACTTTTAAGGCCAGCAAATCTAACTCTGAAAAAGGTTAATTTTAGGACAATCTCCCTGAAATACACTGTTTCTCATAAACAGCCTCGGTTTCAGGAAGTAGAAATTTAAAAGAAAACAGAGCGTCACTGCTTCAGAATCTGATTGTGTAATTCAACTCTGGGACTTTCAGCAGTTTTGCACCATAAGACACACCCCTTTAGGGATGGCTTTGGTAGAGGTATTCCGGGAATTTTATTACTACAGAGAAGTTTCCTCTTTTAAACAAAGTGCAAGGAAACTCCTTATTTGAATGAAGTCAGGATGGAGAGTCAGGCCCCTGAGGGCCAAGGAAAAAGAGTAAGAAACAATGAACATTGTTTTTGATCTATTATCAAAAGACAAACTCATGTTAGGGCTCCATTTCAAAGTGGAAGTGGTCAACAGTACTTAATGGTGCGGAGAAGTGACAAAGGATGAGGACAGAAAAGTGTCCACTGGCTTGGCAAGTAGGTCAAAGATAGCTTTAACAAGAACAAATTCAGTGAGGTGCTGGCAGAAAGCAGATGGAATATTTTTAAATCCTAAAAAGTAAGATAAATAAGTAGAGTAGAAAGAGAATCTTTCCATCTAAGCCTAGATTACATAAAATATGCACATGGAGCCTATGTTCAGAAGGGGTTATACTTCTGAAGTTACTTCAGGGTTGGAGCAAGATGATCTCAAGACTAACTTTACCCTTTTATTATATCATATAATTAATTATATAATAAACTTGAGGGCCACAAACAGCAAGGAATAGTGATATTTCTATGGGGTTAATGGCCAGAATGTTATTCTGGAAATTTTTCCCCAGAATTATGCACTTAGTTGACAGTACAATTATGGTAAACATAAAGAGAAAACTAGAGATAGAGGATAGACGGACAACTTACTCCAGGTATGGCATTTCTCTAAGGCATATTTTCTATTTTTTTAATGAGAAAAAAAATTATTGTGTTATAAATTAATGTATAGCTTCTGATCCCTCATTAGTAGTATAAAATGTTATTTGTTAGGATGCTAGTGATTTCTTGGATTTTAAAAATTAATGAAGAAGCACTAACAACTACAATGTAAATACTTAAGTATAAATATTAAAGGAGGGGGGAGGCTTTTGGGTTTTGTTTTACTTTTTTCGTAAAAAAATAGGAAATTTAGTAATTTTTTTATTCCTAAAAATTACACCAGTGAGAAGTACTACATGATAAAATTTAGATTCAACAAGGGAAAGATTAAGTTATTTGGTTTGGAGGACATGTGATAGGTAGAAATAATGCACCCCCACTATCTCCACTCCAGAGAAGAGATAAATGTTGATGATTAACAAAATTGCAGCCTTACAGGTATCGGCCTCACATGTAGTTGTACTCTTCCTTCCCCAGGCTTATGGTTCCTGATTATACCTAATTCTGAGAGGTCAAAATTTAATCCCTCACAGTATCTCTTTATCAGACGCGAAAGCAGCATGTATCAATGTCATTTTATTGTCAATGAAACTGACCTGCAAATGAGGAACTGTCCTGCAAGTCAGGGTCAGAATGCAGACAGATAAGTGGCTTCCATCTGACACCTACCAGAACTGGCAGGTAGATTTCCAAGCTCTGAAGTAAGTGGGCCAGTTTGACCTCAGTCACTGCTAGCTTGGTCCTCCCTCTCTTCTCTGTCTTCTACTCCTTCTATAGAGTCTCACTCCTACCCGGCTCTAGACACCTACTGCCTTTAGGTTCTCTCCACCTTTAGTTCATTTCACTGGAGACTATAAAGGACTCCTGGGAGGTGAAGTGTTTCTCAATGCACCATGTTCCAGCCTGTATTTGTGGAACCCCAGACCCTGGATGTTGAGTGAGGGATCCCTTCAGGCAGATGGGGCGGGAGAGGAAGCCCCTGGACTGGTCTGGTGTAAGGTGAGGGCATCATGGGTAGCCGCAGGCTGATTTGGAGCTCTGGGGCACGTTCAAATCCCGTCTCTGTTCTCGCTCAACGTGACACTTAGCCACCCTCAGGGCGGCCGTTTACTCACCTGTAAGGGGGACCTACTCTCCCTCCACTGTGAGGATTAAATGAGATAATACAAGCCGTGCACATGGCTTGTTTAGGGAGTAAGTTCAACTCTCTGCCTACCCCTACCCGGTCCCAAGCCAACACTTGAGGTGGGGCGGTGGAAGGGCAGGGAGCGGTGAGTGGCTCTCAATGTTGAAGTGATTCTGTTCCCTTTTCAAAATCTAGCTCACTAGCCACATCCTCTTCGGAGGGGCCACTTGTCTGGGGAGGTGAGGTCCCTACCGGTTTACTGCGCCTCAAACGTGGCCTGGAAGTTCAGCAAGGTGGTCAGGGGCCTGGGCTTCGCGTCGCTCGGGCGTCAGCAGCCGCAGACGCCCGGGGGAGGAGGGAGGGTGCGGGCGCGCGTGCGGGCGGGGCCTGAGAACCTCGGCGCTTTCGTCCGGTCTTTATAAAGGCTTTGGGGGTGGCTAGGGGCCGCAGTCGGCCGGGAGTAGGAGGAGAGGTGGCGCGCGCCGGAGGACCAGTGATCCGCAGCCGCCCGCTCCCCGGGTTCGGTCGCGTCTGCCCTCCCTTCACCCCCCAATTCGGCCCCGCCCCCCTTGGCTCACACCCGCCCTCTCCCTCCCCCAGGGGCTGCGGCGGGGCGGGCTGGCGCTTTCTCGTGTAGTTGAGGGGGTGGACGGTGCCGGTCCCCCGACTCCAGCTTCCGCGGGGTGGCCTTCATTAGTCTCGTGCGGAGCCCGGAAAGCGAAGCCGTTCTGGGAAGTTAGTTCACCGACTCCCCGGCCCCGAGGTACCTAGCGGGCGGCGGGCTGGGGGTGAAGTGGGGAGTGTGTCTTGTCTGTTTATCGCGCCGAGAGCGAAGCTTTGTCAAGGAGTCCTTCGCGATGCTCTGTACAAAGTCACATCCACGGCGCGCTCCAGCAATTACATACGGCACGGCCCCAGCTTTATAAACCTTAGGAATATTTATAAATGCGAGGGAGGAATACTGAAAGGAAATACCAGAGATGGGGTGTGTTTTCTTTATCAATTTACGTGCTTTGCAGTTTGTTTTTTTGCCTTATCAGAGAACACAAAAGAATTCCATTTATCAAGGGTAGCTCACAAAGCAATTGGGCGTGAACCCCTTCCGCGTCCCCCAGGAGACTTTCCTGCGGGGCCTCGGGCTCCCTGGAGCTCCGGGTTCTCTACTGAGGGTTCTTCTGGACCTGCCCTCCTTGCCTCAGGAAAATTATATATATTAGGAAAATATAGTAATCTGCTGTTTTCTGGGACTTTCTCCAGCTTTCAGATTGAAAGGAGGAATTTCCCAAATCCTCCGGAAGCCAGAACCCACGCTCTACCTCATAGCGGATGTCCACAGCCACCAAGAAGCTGGACTGTGCAGATCTGATTGGGTACAGGTTAATCAGGTAAAGTGGGAGAAAGAAGACACTATCTCGGAAGAAAAAGTGAGCTCTCTTAAGGTTTTCCTCTTGCTCTTTTTGTTTTTCACGACTCCTTCTACGAAACCTATTATTTAAGAATTGATTCTGCTGACCAGTAGTAGAGTTCACAGATGTCTTCGAAGCCACACTGGGGGTGATGACCGGCGAGGGACGTTAGTCAGGAGGATGACCCTGTCTTTTGCTAGGCTTCAAGTTTCTCTTCCCTCCTGTTAGCTCAGTGTTGGGTGTTGGTCAGGGAGAAAGCCTTTAAAAAAAGGCTGCTTGCAACAAGGCAAAGACATATACTTTCTCTTGAGATTATCCATAGGGTGGGAGCTGAGGAGGGATGAAAGTAAACCTTTAGAATACCTTCCTTAACACAAGGCCCAGAACAAGCTCCATTATTTCACTAGATCTTACCTTAAAAAGCAAACTTAAAACATGAGAATCCTCTTGGCATGCATGACCAACCAGGGGCACCAAACTTTCTGTTAAACTGCTTGGACACCTGGCTCCTCCTTTGAGCAAAAATATCCGTCTTTTTGTTCATGACAGTTGAACAGCCTTTTTGCAAGGTCAGGGTAGTATGTCTCTTTGCTGGCTTTGCCCAACTTTGGGAGGGGTAACTGGTGTGTGTGTTGGGGGGGGGGGTGTGGGAGGGTGGGAGTGTGAGCAAGTGTAGAGAGCATATTTTTGCACATAGCACCTTATTTCCTTTGAGAGGAGTCAGAAGGCAACCTCAGAGTCTAACCCTTCTCTTGCCAGCTCTAAGACTCCCAGGTAAGTGTGTACTTACTTCCTGGTGTCCAGCAAAGGAGAGGTTTACTCTTCTGACACTCAAGAATGGAGCACTCACATTCTGTATTATGCTTTCTGTGATAAAGTTCTTGATAGCAGGGCTCATTTGCTCATTTTCATTTCTATATATTTATCTATTTATTGTAGTTCATTTGTGAATATAGATACTATTGTGTATCAGACATCACCACAGTGTTTTACACAGTGTTTTTCTTTAAGTAAGCTCTATACCCATCGTGGAGCTAGAACTCACGACCCTGAGATCAGGAGTTGCATGCTCTACTGAGTGAGCCAGCCAGGCGAACCATGCTTTACAATTTTTTTATGTCAGATATCATAGTTTACCCCTTTAATACTTAGCTAATCTCCACCTCCATTTAATTCCATAAAAATCAGATGGTTTGTAATTTTGTAAAGAAAATATTTGTTAAGTGTTTGATTAGATATTAAGTACACATGGTATACAATTTCGAAGGTATAGAATGTGCAATGAAAAGTCTCCTTTCCACCCCTGACCCCAGGTTTCCTCTCCAGAGGTAACCACTGTTACTGCTATATAAGCTCACTGTTCTTCTATCTTTGATAACTTATGTCAGACATTTCAAAAAGCTGCTTTTGAGCATTTGCACACTAGTGATTTTTTTTTTTTTTTTTTAAAGATCTACCAGGGCACCTGGGTGGCTCAGTCGGTTAAGCAGTTTAAGCGTCTGCCTTCGCCTCAGGTCATGATCCCAGGGTCACGGGATCAAGTCCCGCATTGGGCTCCCTGCTCAGCAGGGCGACTGCTTCTCTTTCTCCTTCTGCCCCTCCCCCTGCTCGTGCTCTCTCTCTCACTCGTTCTCTCTGTCTCAAATAAATAAATAAAATCTTTTAAAAAAAACCT